GAGGTCAGGAGTTTGAGACCAGCCTGGCTAACATGGTGAAACCCTGTCTCTACTAAAAATACAAAAATTAGCGGAGGGTGGTGGTGGGCGCCTATAATTCTAGCTACTCAGGAGACTGAGAAAGGAGAATTGCTTAAACTTGGAACGTGGAGGTTGCAGTGAGCTAAGGTCACACCACTACACTCCAGCATATGTGAGAGAGGAAAACTGTGTCTCAAAAAATAAATAAATAAATAAAAAGTGCTGTTGGAAATTGTCAGATGTATTCCAATATAAATCCCCCATTTTATAGATAAAAGAGATAAAAGAGAAATTTTATAAAATTTTGCTGAGGATATATCCCCTTTCTTCATAATGCTCATGCTTATCATGCTGAGAGTAGCTGTGCAGTTTGGGTGTTTAGAGAGATGTTTATTTTAGGGGAACATTTTCTGGCCAACATGATTAATCTTATATCTAATCTGAGGTTTTTTTTTTTTTCTTTTTTTTTCTTTTTTTTTTTTTGAGACTGAGTCTCGCTCTGTCACCCAGGCTGGAGTGCAGTGGCACGATCTGGGCTCACTGCAAGCTCCGCCTCCCAGGTTCACGCCCTTCTCCTGCCTCAGCCTCCCGAGTAGCTGGGACTACAGGCGCCCGCCACCTCGCCCGGCTAGTTTTTTGTATTCTTTTGAGTAGAGACGGGGTTTCACCGTGTTAGCCAGGATGGTCTCGATCTCCTGACCTCATGATCCGCCCGTCTCGGCCTCCCAAAGTGCTGGGATTACAGGCTTGAGCTACCACGCCCGGCCCTGAGTTTGTTTTTTTTTTAAAGATGCTCTTCTTTTGTACTCTCAATATAATTTTGCTAAGATGAAGAGCGATTTTTCTCTCCAGTGCTTTGGGTGTCTGTTTCAGAAGCCCTATTACTATCCCGTGGTGTCTGTGAATGAGGTGGGCTGTCACAGGGAGAACTCTCTATGTGGACTCATGCTGAAAATCCAGCAGTATTTTTTTCATGTCACCATTATAAATAGAAACTGAAGCTGAAACACTGCTCCCATTCCCATTATCGTGAAGGTGCAATTTTACCTAGGAGGACTGAAGGCTCTCCTCCTGCACCTCAGGCTTCATTACCTGATGTGGGACTAGAGTGCTGCTCTGGCAGTTGGGGTTCATGTAAGATGTGAGCTGCCAGCTGTGAGCCCTGTGGTAGGAGTCAAGAGAGGACACTGGCTGTCAGGAAAGGACAAGCAGAGTCTACTAAGTTGCAAAATTACCTCCTGTCATGAGGATGTGAAAAGTTAATTTTGTCATTGAATATAACCAATTAGCATACATGGATCGCCTCCCCCATTACCAGGTGAATTTAGGATGAACCATGTATTACATGGCGCTGTGAATTCTTTTACTTGTGGACTAATTATGGGAGTGTCTTTTTGTCTTTGCAGTCTCTTAAGAAGATTGACTGTGATGCATGTCACATTCTGGTTTAATTGTGTAATGAAATAGTTTACTTTCTGTTCTGTCATTTTGGAGTTTCTCTAGGGCTGGAGAAATTTTTTCTTTTAATTATATTTTCCAAACATTGTCTAGAATTACTAGACATAATATAAATACATACGGTTCCAGCCAGACTTTACTCTAGAGGGGCCTTTTCCTCTCAGGCTTCCAGTCTCTTCAGATTTCTACAAACTTCACAGGGTAGCAATCAGCCATTTTACCTCTTATTTTGTCTGGCTCCACCTTGAAGTCTGGCCTCACAGAACTGACTGATTGGAAGTTTTGGCTGGTGAGTCTGTTACATTTTTTAGAGCTGGTGCTCACAATTTTCTGAAACCTGAAAAGATAAAATTAGAAAAATAAAGTATGTATTTTAGCATCTTAATTTTTAAATTTTCTGTTAAACCAATACTTGCAGAGACATTTTATTTAGTAACTTGTTTTCTATTCCTGCAGATCCAGTAGTTGCTCCACAAGTCACAAACAAGTAAATATGAACACAATAAAAATTTCTTTAAACTACATTAAATTCTTTCTGTATCCCTCTCATCTGTCAATATTTAGTATTCTATACATTTTTTAAAAACCAAGGACAGAGAAACGGAAGATGAAATAAAAATGCTGAGCCCTTAATCTAAATCCCGGGAATTATTAAACATCTGTGCTAACTCCCAGTTTGTTATGAGAATTAAATCACATAATGTGTTATTCCAAGCATAGTGCTCTGTAGCATACTCTTGAGCACAGGCGTTGCTACTTTATGTTGCCTCTGTAAACTTTACAGAACCAGCAAAGAATATGATACTTAAAGATGGAGATTAGTTGTCTTCATTTGTGCCAGAAGTATTTGTGTTGTGACAAGAGTGCTGAGTGTAAGGGGCAGTGCCTGCTTCTCTAACTGATTCTAATGATTAGCCTAGAAGCAGCAACATCAGCATTGACAGGGGACTTATTTAAAACACACATTCATGAACCCTTTGAAAACCTGCAGAATCACATTACATAGGGAAAGTCCAAAGTTACCAAGTGATTTATACGCTTATTAAATATTACAAGACAACTGGGCGTGGTGGCTCATACAGGATGGGATACAGGATACAAAATGCCTGTATCCCAGCATTTTGGGAGACCGAGGTGGGTGGATCACCTGAAGTCAGGAGTTTGAGAGCAGCCTGTCCAACATGGTAAAACCCCATCTCTACTAAAAGTACAAAAATTAGCCGGGCATGGTGGCAGGTGCTTGTAATCTTACCTACTTGGGAGGCTGAGGCTGGAGAATCTCTTAAACCCAGGAGGTGGAGGTTGCGGTGAGCAGAGATTGCGCCATTGCACTCCAGCCTGGGTGACAAGAGCAAAACACCGTCTTAAAAAAAAATTGCAAGGCAATGCTTAGCTAAATGGTTATCAGCCGGACTTCTATTAGGTTGGTGCAAAAGTTAATTGACATTTTTGCCATTCTAAGTAATGTGGATTACTTAGGTGTAGACACTCAGATTACATGGCTAATTACTAGAAATCCCTTTACTTGTGCCCTCTTCACAGATCTGTTTTTTGTTTTGTGTGGACAAGTTTATGTTGTTGTAATTAAGTGCCTCTTGTGACTCTAAGGTAAGGCCAGAATCAACTATGAGGGGTTCAAGATACATTCATGAGAGTTATGTTTTACTTTTCCGCTGAAGGATGGTCACAGGGCCTGTTCTGTTTGGGTTTAGTAAAGACGGGGCAGCGTGGCCCATATTACCATTATTGTAGCAGAAATTGCTGGTGTCTGTGGTGGGGAGCGTACCTAAGGACGGGAAAGGAGAAACTTCTATTTTTCACTTCATTATTTCTGAATCTTTTCTGAAGATTCACCCAGAAATGGGTGGACTTTTTCTGAGGATGTTGGTCCTTCTGCCTGTGGGTGTGGTCATAGCATGTAAACAGGTGGAATGTTCTCAAGATGCAGGTGTAATTGGTCTAGAAAATCTCATCTGAAAATAAATCCCAGAGAAGGAGGAGATAGGAAAAAGTGGCACTTTTTTTTTCAGCTAAACATGTCTCAGAGCTGTGTCCGCTCTGCCTCCTGGAATGCCATGTGTTTAGTACTTGCAAACCTTGCCTTCTATAATTGTGGTTTTTTCTCTCTAATGAGTTTGTTTTAACTACTTTTAAAAATTCTTATGATAATCAAGGGTCTCTGAAAAATATTTCTTTCCTATATACCAGAGTCTTTTATGAATTTTTTAAATTATGCCTTTTTATATGCCTTGCAGAATTCTCACCATTAGTTTATGATCTGCAGTATTAAAAGTGTTCTTTTCGTGGCTGTTGAACATGGAAAAGTGTGGATACTCAAAGATTACTGTTGGGGAAAAGCTGGGATCCTTAGTAAAGGTGGAGAACATGTAATGTTGAAGTTCCATTTGTGTTTGCTATTAGCCCTATGCAGAACAGAATTTAGAAAATGCTTATTTAAACAGGATGGCATTTATTACCCAGAAAGTTCTGAAAAAATATTATCAGGAGGTACCTGTTCTCTAGGGTGCTAAAGAAAGACTACTTAAAATCACTATTAAACATTACAGAACATAGAAGATCTTGAATAGAATAATCCTGTATTTTGAGATATCCTGTATCAAGATAGAAGATACCTGTATCTTGAAGTTTGCATAAAACTGTTGTTTCAATATGGTTGAATTTAGACTATAATTTACTTATTGGGAACAATATTTCAGCAGTAATGCTGTGTCCTTTTGAGTGTTTTAGCACATTATGAAAATTTGTCCTAGTGCAGTTGATGCTAATGATTCACTCGGTTAAAGAGCTCTCTGACAAATTTTTTCACTGTAGTGTTATTTTTTTCTTCGTTATTAAGTATCTTTATGCAGCTGATTTGTATAAATTATCAAATGTAATCTGGCAGCTGCTCTTCTTTCTTAAGGTTTCTTTCCATATATTTGTCTTTGGAAAATGAAGACTGTCATCTCTCTCTTATAGGCCATGAAAACTGGGGGGAAAAAACAGGTTATTTCACTTATTGGATGTTTGATAAAATATTTTTCTTGGGGCAAAATCATTGGCATTTCTTGTGAACATATTAAAAATTCAGCAACTCAGACTTTATTCCAGATCTTCTGCAAAAAAAAAAAGTATAACAAGATTTCCAGTTTATTCTACACATTAAAATTTGAAATGTACCTTGTAACTCAACATGTCTTTCATCTCAACAGAACTCATTCTGTATAGTGTGAATATAGCACTCCAGAATGTACATGCTTGTGTTCGTGCCCTTAATTTTATATTTTATTATCCATAAAAGTATCATATATAAATTGATGTTGTGGATCTTATTCTAGTCTTTTCTCAGAGTTAGAGAATACATCAGATAATATTTCTGTCTTTAAAATTACTTCATTTGGGTAATTTCATTCACTTTTATAAGGCAGAACCAGTACTTTTTAGTCATTCATTTCAACTTGAGTCAAATTAAAAATTTCGCCCATGGCCACTTGGTAAATATGTGTGTGTGTACTTTTCAGGGACCGTTAACATTTATGGATGTGGCCATAGAATTCTCTGTGGAGGAGTGGCAATGCCTGGACACTGCACAGCAGAATTTATATAGGAACGTGATGTTAGAGAACTACAGAAACCTGGTCTTCCTGGGTGAGAATAACTTCAATATACAATTCCTAATATACCCTAAAGATTTCTTTCTTTCTTTTTTTTTTTTTGTTGAATGTTTTTTGGTAATTGATCTTTGTATAAATGAGTATCAGATCTCTTATTTCTAAGAAAATCTTGGGGGCCAACCACAGTGGCTCATGCCTGTAATCCTAGCACTTTGGTAGGCCAAGGCAGGTGGATCACCTGAGGTCAGGAGTTCAAGACCAGCCTGGCCAACATGGTGAAACCCCGTCTCTACTAAAAAAAAAATACAAAAATTAGCCAGTTGTGGTGGCGCATGCCTGTAGTCCCAGCTACTTGGGAGGCTGAAGCAGGAGAATCACTTGAACCCAGGAGGCAGAGGTTGCAGTGAGCCAAGATTGCACCACTGCACTCGAGCCTAGGTGGCAGAGTGAGACTCCAAATCAAAAAAAAAAAAAGAGAAAGAAAATCTTGGGGATTTGTCAGTGTAGGAAAAAATAATTCAAGATGTTTCATCTTGATCTGGACTTTTTACATTTCTCAGCTGATCTGTATCCTTCCCTCTAAATTAGTGGTAATTCCAGAAATTTAGTGGCATAAAATATTGTTTTGTATACCTTAAAATCTAATTGTCATCTCCAGTTTTTGGTTCAGTAATACTAAGTAGTAAAATTAAGAACCTACAAATTTTAAAAAAGTCTAAATATTTAGAAATTTCTGTTGTAAATTAGTATTTTGTAATTAATTTACTATTCTATTAATTACACACTCTTTACTGAGCACATTATTTGAAGAATATGAGCAACATTCATGTTATTTATTTTTAATAAAACAGGTATTGCTGTCTCTAAGCCAGACCTGATCACCTGTCTGGAGCAAGGCAAAGAACCCTGGAATATGGAGAGACATGAGATGGTGGCCAAACCCCCAGGTAGGTGATAGTGAATATAACAGATGACACAGATGAGAGGTCCATATGTCAAGGAGAAAGTCAGTTTTTGAAATACGATTTGGGGCCGGGTGCGGTGGCTCGTGTCTGTAATCCCAGCATTTGGAGAGGCCAAGGCGGGTGGATTACCTAAGGTCGGGTGTTTGAGACCAGCCCGACCAACATGGAAAAACCCCATCTTTACTAAAAATACAAAATTAGCTGGGTGTGGTGGCGCATGCCTGTAGTCCCAGCTACTCGGGAGGCTGAGGTTGTGGTGAGCTGAGATCGCACCATCGCACTCCAGCCTGGGCAACAAGAGTGAAACTCCATCTCAAATAAATAAATAAATAAATAAATATATAAACGAATAAAAATAAGAAATACAATTTGGGAGTTGTGCTCCAAGGAGAATAGTTTCAGGGAAGCCTGAAGTTTATTTTTTATTTTATTTTTTCTCTTACATAGGGGTATCTTTTGTCTTATCCGTCTAACTTTTCTAAGGAATATACTTTCCCTTCAGTTATCTTTCTAGTTTTCAGTGAGAGCCAAAGTCCCCTTTTTGGCATATACAAGACTACAAAATCTGCTTTTTTAATGTTTTGGCGGACACATAAATATCTGTGAAATTTTAAGAAACTCTATGTTAAACTATTATTTTAAGTTTTCTTTCTACATCATGTCTGAAATATGTGAGAGTAGTGGTTTCTGTTTCATTTTTTTGTTCATTTTTTTCTGCACATTCCATCCTGTTTTTATTACTATAGTCTTGAAATACAGTTTGAAATTATAAAGTATGTTGTCCTCCTGCTTTGTTCTTTTTCCTCAAGATTACTTTCATTATTCAGAGCTTATTGAAGTTTCAAGTAAATTTTATGATTGTATTTTTCATTACTGTGAAAACAAATACCACTGGAATTTTGATAGGGAGTTTATTAAGTCTGTAGATCACTTTGGATAATATGGCACTTTAACAATATTTATTCTTTCAATCCATACGCACAAAATATTTTAAAATTTGTGTCTTTTCTAATTTCCTCCATTGATATATCATTTATTGTAAAGGTTTTTTAGATCGTTGGTTAAATTTGTTCTAAGAAATTTATTATTTTAATGCTATTGTCCATAAGATTATTTTATCAGATAGTTTAAGTTTATGGAAGTGTAAGTTTATCTTATAAATGTATGTTAATTTTATATTTTGCTAATTTACTGAGTATATTAATTAGTTTAGACATGTTTAAATGTACTGTGTATGATTTTTTATATATGAGATTATATGATCTACAAACAGCAACTTTTTACCTATTTGTCTTCCATTTTAATGGTTTTTTAAAAATTGTTTTGACTATTCTGCTGCATACTTCCAGTGCTATTTTAAAATAGAAGCATTGACACTGGGCACAATATAGTTTTGCACTGGTGTCTGTGAATTTCAGGAAGCAAACACCTCTTCAAGTTTTTATCAACTGGTTTCAGGAGGTAAAGATCTTTTGTTGGGCTCCCAGGATAATGGGATGCCCTCTGGGTTTGTAATGAAGAGGGGTTGTAGGTTGCTCACAAGGCTGCTATGTCTGCACAAGGGTTTACTTTAGTGTTTAGTTGGCTTGTTACAAGGGGATTGTGGTGTAATTTGCATTTTATTTTTGGACAGGCTGAATATCCTTCAGGACTTTGATCTGTAGGGCAGTCACTAGGCAGGTTTCTGTAGTCATGTCTGCAAATGGTAAGCATTACATCAGGATGTCATTGAGTATGGTTTTCACTGAGCATCAAAGAGGATTTTGCCAGGTCACTGTGTGGGTTTCCATGTAGGCAGAACTGGCCTTGAACTGTCATGGAACTGCTTCAGGGACCACAGTAAAGGCTACGGTCTTGCAAACCTGCCTGCATGACTATAAATGGGTATCTTCCTCCAGCCCTGTGGAAGGAAGGGCAGGACCTCTCCCAAACTGTGACTGGGAGGAGTATGAGATGCTTACAGGGTAAGTTTAATATTCTCAGTGGGACCAAGTTGCGTGGGCTATTTTTTGGTCTGTAGCCAAGAATAGAGGTGCTATAGTTTGCCACCTGAATATATGCCTGCCTTCTGAAAAGGATACGCCTCAGTCTTGGGCATTATCAGTTTCATAACTCCCTCCTTGGATCTCAAAGCTCTTTCTCTCTTTTTTTTTTTCGTTTGAGACGGAATCTCACTCTGTTGCTCAGGCTGGAGTGCAGTGGCACCATCTCAGCTCGCTGCAACCTCCGCCTCCCAGGTTCAGGTGATCCTACTCCCTCAGCCCTCAAGTAGCTGGGATTACAAGCATGCGCCACGATGCCCGGATAATTTTTTTTTGGAAGACGGGCATGAAGTCTCGCTGTGTTGCCCAGACTGGAGTGCAATGGCACAATCTTGGCTCACTGCAACCTCCTCCTCCCAGGTTCAAGTGATTCTCCTGCCTCCGCCTCCCAAGCAGCTGGTACTACACGCACGTGACACCACACCCGGCTAATTTTTGTATTTTTAGTAGAGACAGGGTTTCACGATGTTAGCCAGGCTGGTCTCGAACTCCTGACCTCAGGTGATTTGGCCGCCTCGACCTCCCAAAGTGCTAGGATTACAGGCGTGAGCCATCCTGCCCTTCTGTGCCCATATTTTTGTATTTTTAGTAGAGATAGGGATTCGCCATGTTGGCCAGGCTGGTCTCGAACTCCTGACCTCAGATGATCCACCCACCTCAGCCTCCGAAAGTGCTGAGATGACAGGCGTGAGCCACTGCGCCCAGCCTTTTTTGTTTTTTGTTTTTTGTTTTTTTTTGTTTTTTGTTTTTTTTTTGAGACGGAGTCTCATCTCTGTCACCCAGACTGGAGTGCAGTGGCCCGATATCGGCTCACTACAACCTCTGCCTCTTGGCCGGGTTCAATCAATTCTGCTGTCTCAGTCTCCCGAGTAGCTGGGATTACAGGCATGTGCCACCATGCCTGGCTAATTTTTGTATTTTTAGTAGAGATGGGGTTTCACAATGTTGGCCAGGCTGTTTCGAACTCCTGACCTCAGGTGATCCACCCGCCTCAGCCTCCCAAAGTGTTGAGATTACAGGCATGAGCCGTCGTGCCCAGCCATGCCCAGATAATTTTTGTATTTTAGTAGAGATGGGGTTTCGCCATGTTGGCCAGACTGGTCTTGAACGCCTGAGCTCAGGTGATCCACTCACCTCAACCTCCCAAAGTGCTGAGATTACAGACATAAGCCACTACACCTGACCTTTTCTTTTTTCTTTTTTTTTTTTTTTTTTTTTGAGATGGAGTCTCATCTCTGTCACCCAGGATGGAGTGCAGTGGCCTGATCTCAGCTCACTGCAACCTCTGCCTCCTGGTCGGGTTCATTCAGTTCTGCTATCTCAGCCTCCCAAGTAGCTGGGATTACAGGCGTGCACCACCATGCCTGGCTGATTTTTGTATTTTTAGTAGAGAGAATGTTTCAGCATGTTGGCCAGGCTGGTCTCGAACTCTTGACCTCAGGTGACCCACCTGCCTCAGCCTTCTGAAGTGCTGGAATTACAGGCGTGAACCACCGCACCCGGCCTTTAAAGCTCCCTTAAAGGCACTTATTTTGGAGATGAGGACTTGCTGCATACCCCAAGCTGGTCTTGAAATTTTGACCTGAAGAAATTCTCCAACCTCAGTGTACCGTGTAGTTGTCATTACAGGTATGAATGATGCTTGGCTCTCTCATAAAGGCATTTTTGTTAGGGATGGCTGACAAATTTTCTTGCTCTCAGGTTGTAAGAAAATATGTCACCTTTTATTTTTCCACCAAACTAATGTCACTCTATTCATTTTTCTTTCTATTTTGTATTTCAAATTTGTCCATAATTTTGGATTCACACATTAGGGCAATATGTCACAATTTAAGTGTTATGCCTGAAGTAAATTAGATACTTAGTAGGCACTCCATATTTACTAAAATATAGTTACTTATACATTTGTTTGCTGTAGGCAAAGAGGAATTACAGGATTTGCACTCACTTTCTTCAGCCTATATCTAAATAAAAACATAATTTATTTCCAAATATTTGTTTTATATATATATCAGAGGCTTTAATTATATTCTGCAAAAATATATATTTCTTTTTAATTTAGCAATACAAGGCTATTATTTTCTTCTAAATTTGATTTTTTTTTTTGAGATGGAGTCTCACTCTGTTGTCCAGGCTGGAGTGCAGTGGTGTGATCTCGGCTCACCGCAGCCTCCACCTCCTGGGTTCAAGTAATTTTCCTGCCTCAGCCTCCCAAGTAGCTGGGATTACAGACGTGCACCACCAGGCCTGGCTAGTTTTTTGTATTTTTAGTAGAGATGGAGCTTCATCATGTTGGCCAGGCTGATCTTGAACTCCTGACCTCAAGTGATCCGCCCGTCTCAGCCTCCCAAAGTGCTGTGATTACAGACGTGAGCCACCATGCCCGGCCACAATTTTTTTTTTTTTTTTTTTTTTTTTTTTTTGAGACGGAGTCTCGCTCTGTCGCCGAGGCTGGAGTGCGGTGGCGCGATCTCGGCTCACTGCAAGCTCCGCCTCCCGGGTTCACGCCATTCTCCTGCCTCAGCCTCCCGAGTAGCTGGGACTGCAGGCGCTCGCCACCTCGCCCGGCTAATTTTTTTGTATTTTTTTAGTAGAGACGGGGTTTCACCATGTTCACTAGGATGGTCTCGATCTCCTGACCTCGTGATCCACCCATCTCGGCCTCCCAAAGTGCTGGGATTACAGGCTTGAGCCACTGCGCCCGGCCCACAATTTTTTTAAGGCTGAATAAAATTCCATTGTGTATATATGTTACCTTTTTTATGTTTAGGTTGCAGTGAGCCGAGATAACATCACTGCACTCTAGCCTGGGCAACGGAGTGAGATTTCTATAAAAATCTCAATAGCACATTTTTACAGAAATATTGTTAAAAACTTTTGAATTTGATTTTTTATGTTTATGAATCAAGAGACATCTGGGTTACTTCAGCCTTTTGCCTTTTGTGAATGCTGGTACAATAAATATAGATGTTTACGTATCTCTTCTAGGTCCTGTGTTGCATCCTTTGGATATAGATTCATAAATGGGATTGCTCTATTTAATTATAATTCCACTTTTAATTCTGTGTGAAACATAACATTTTAAAATAATGGTTGCATCCTTGTTTTCCATCAACAATCAACATAAGTTTCATTTTCATAGCATCGTCAACAGATTTGGTGGTGGGTTTTTTTTTGGGGGGGGGGGTTGGGGTTTTGGTTTGAGTCAGAGTCTCGCTCTGTTGCCCAGGCTGGAGTGCAGTGGTGCGATCTCGGCTCACTGCAATATCCGCCTCCCGGGTTTAAGCGATTCTCCTGCCTTAGCTTCCCAAGTAGCTGGGACTACAGGCGCATGCCACCAGGCCTGGCTAAATTTTCATATTTTTAGTAGAGACGGGGTTTCACCATGTTAGCCAGATGGTCTTTATCCAGCCTCCCAAGGTGCTGGGATTATAAGCGTGAGCCACCGTGCCTGGCCAGATTTGGTGTTTTTTTTTTTAGAAAAATGATAGTGGTCATTCTAATGGGTGTGGGGTGATTTTGCTTTTCATTGTGATTTCTATGTATGTCTTCACAAATTAGTAAATTTATGTGTCCTTTCAAATGCTCTTTCCCATTTTTGTATCTTTTTGTTTGTTTGTGGTTTTTTTGTTTGTTTTTGAGACACAGTCTCCCTCTGTCACCCAGTTTGGAGTACAGTGGCGCAATCTTGGTTCACTGTTTTTTTTTAAGATGGAGTCTTACTCTGTCACTCTGGCTGGAGTGGAGTGGAGTCGTGTGATCTTGGCTCACTGCACCCTCCGCCTCCTGGGTTCAAGTGATTCTCCTGCCTCAGCCTCCCGAGTAGCTGGGACTAAAGGCGTGTGCCACCACACCTGGCTAATTTTTGTATTTTTAGTAGAGATGGGGTTTCAGTGTGTTAGCCAGGATGGTCTCGATATCCTGACTTCATGATCTGCCTGCCTCAGCCCCTCAAAGAGCTGGGATTACAGGTGTGAGCCACCGCACCTGGCCCGCCTATGTATCTTTTAAATGAAAATTTTGTTCAATTATTCATCCTTTTCTAAATCAAGTTATTCAACTTTATTGCTCAGTAGTAAGAGTTGCTTATATGTTCTGAGTATCAACTCCTATTATATGATTTGCAAATATTTTTACCAGTTTCCTAGGAGGCATTGGCACTTGAATTTTTTTTTTTAATCTGCAGAAATTTTGAAGTATACTGGGGTTAAATTATTTTTTAATGTTTAAGTATTTTATTTAAAATATTTTTGCATATGATCAATTTTTATAATGTAGCTTTGTCCTGGCATAGCCTGAAAAAAATTTTCTCAGCTAGAAATTCTGAGAGTGTCTTAAACATGTTCCTAGGATGTGTCTTGTCTGAAATTTGTTTTTTAATTTAAAAAGTTTATTCATGTTTCTTCTTAATAATCAGTCACCACTTGCTAAACCTGTTCGCTGTCTGTGATACTGCGGTCTCTCTGCTGCTGTAACATTTGGCTTTGGTTTCAGCAGATTCAAACCGTCATTCCACAGTATACCAACACTTTTTTCAGCACTTTATGTCGTGCGAGACAGAAACCAGTGTCTGGAAGGGCGCCTAGAAATGAAAAAAAGATGTATGTGCCAGTGTTCTACTTGTCTTTAAAAAACAAAGAAAGAAAGAAAAACAGGGTTGGCTATTCACTTTTTTTTTTTTTTTTTGAGAGGGAGTCTCGCTCTGTTGCCCAGGCTGGAGTGCAATAGCAATCTTGGCTCACTGCAACCTCTGCCTCCTGGATTTAAGCAGTTCTGCCTCAGCCTCCCGAGTAGCTGGAATTACAGGCGCCCACCACCATGCCTGGCTAATTTTTGTGTTTTTAGTAAAGAGGGAGTTTCGCCATGTTGGCCAGCCTGATTCCAAACTCCTAACCTCAGGTGATCCATTCACCTCGGCACCCCAAAGTGCTGGGATTACAGGCGTGAGCCACCCTGCCTGGCTGGTTATTCACTTCTAAAGGCACTATATTATATTGGGGAGAGGGATGAGCTGTGTTGGGTAAACATAACAGACTTTTCTCATTATTCTTTATGGTTCTTTGCATTGTCCTCACCTCCTGGGGCACTGTACACACTTAACTCTTGTATAAATTTTTCACAAATGTATTTTGGTCTGTGTATTTTTCTTACATTTATATGTCGATAAGGAAATTAGGGCCTTTGGTATTTTGTTGTGCAGTTTTGTTTTGGTTGTTTTTGAGTCAAAGTATTGCTCTGTTGTCCAGAGTGGAGTGCATTGGTGTGATATCAGCTCACTGCAACTTGTGCCTCTCAGGTTCAAGCAATTCTCCTGCCTCAGCTTCCTGAGTAGCTGGGATTACAGGTGCATGCTATCATTCCCGGCTAATTTTTTTGTATTTTTTAGAAAAGATGGGTTTCACCATATTGGCCAGACTGGTCTCAAACTCCTGACTTCAGGTGATCTGCCCATCTCAGCATCTCGACGTGCTGGGAGTACAGGCATTAGCCACCATGCCCGGCCTTCTTATGCAATCTTGTTTATGTAGTTTGTATAATTTTGTAGGTTGGATTTGTAAAGAATATGTATCTGAGTCTAGTATGTGGAGTAAGTTGTTATTTTTATTTCTTTCAGGTATGTGTTGTTATTTCGCCCAAGACCTTTGGCCAGAGCAGAGCATAAAAGCTTCTTTCCAAAGAATAATACCAAGAAAATATGAAAAATGTGGACATCACAATTTACAGTTAAAAAAAGGGTGTAAAAGTGTGGATGAGTATAAGGTGCACAAAGGAAGTTATAATGGATTTAACCAGTGTTTGTCAACTACCCAGAGCAAAATATTTCAATGTGATAAATATGTGAGAGACTTTCATAAATTTTCAAATTCAAATAGACATAAGACTGAAAAGAATCCTTTCAAATGTAAAGAATGTGGCAAATCATTTTGCGTTCTTTCACACCTAACTCAACATAAAAGAATTCACACTACTGTCAGTTCCTACAAACTTGAAGAATGTAGCAAGGCTTTTAATGTGTCCTCAACGCTTTCTCAACATAAAAGAATTCATACAAGACAGAAACACTACAAATGTGAAGAATGTGGCATAGCCTTTAACAAGTCCTCACACCTTAACACACATAAGATAATTCATACTAGAGAGAAATCCTACAAACGTGAAGAATGTGGCAAAGCTTTTAACATATCCTCACACCTTACTAAACATAAGATAATTCATACTGGAGAGAATGCCTACAAATGTAAAGAATGTGGCAAAGCTTTTAACCAGTCATCAACCCTTACTAGACATAAGATAATTCATGCTGGAGAGAAGCCCTACATATGTGAACATTGTGGCAGAGCTTTTAACCAATCCTCGAACCTTACTAAACATAAGAGAATTCATACTGGTGATAAACCTTATAAATGTGAAGAATGTGGCAAAGCCTTTAATGTGTCCTCTACCCTTACTCAACATAAGAGAATTCATACTGGGGAGAAACCTTACAAATGTGAAGAGTGTGGCAAAGCCTTTAACGTGTCCTCAACTCTTACTCAACATAAGAGAATTCATACTGGAGAAAAACCATACAAATGTGAAGAATGTGGCAAAGCCTTTAACACATCCTCACACCTTACCACACATAAGAGAATTCATACCGGAGAGAAACCCTACAAATGTGAAGAATGTGGCAAAGCCTTTAACCAGTTCTCACAACTTACTACACATAAGATAATTCATACTGGAGAGAAACCCTACAAATGTAAAGAATGTGGCAAAGCTTTTAAGCGGTCCTCAAACCTTACTGAACATAGGATAATTCATACTGGAGAGAAACCCTACAAATGTGAAGAATGTGGCAAAGCTTTTAACCTATCCTCACACCTTACTACACATAAGAAAATTCATACTGGAGAGAAACCCTACAAATGTAAAGAATGTGGCAAAGCTTTTAACCAATCCTCAACCCTTGCTAGACATAAGATAATTCATGCTGGAGAGAAACCCTACAAATGTGAAGAATGTGGCAAAGCTTTTTACCAATACTCAAACCTTACTCAACATAAGATAATTCATACTGGAGAGAAACCCTACAAATGTGAAGAATGTGGCAAAGCCTTTAACTGGTCCTCAACTCTTACTAAGCATAAGGTAATTCATACTGGACAGAAACCCTACAAATGTAAAGAATGTGGCAAAGCTTTTAATCAATGCTCAAACCTTACTACACACAAGAAAATTCATGCCGTAGAAAAAACTGACAAATATGAAGAATGGACCGGGCGCAGTGGCTCACACGTGTAATCCCAGCACTTTGGGAGGTCAAGGCTGGTGGATCATGAGATCAAGAGATTGAGACCATCCTGGCCTACATGGTATTTAGTAGTCTCTATTTAGTAGTCTCTACTAAAAAATACAAAAATTAGCTGGGTGTGGTGGCGCATGCCTGCAGTCCTAGCTACTAAGGAGACTGAGGCACGAGAATCCCTTGAACCCGGGAGGTGGAGGTTGCAGTGTGCCGAGATCGTGCCACTGCACTCCAGCCTAGTGACAGAGTGAGACTCCGTCTCAAAAAAAAAAGTGGCAAAGCGTTTAACCAATTAACAACTCAACTATACATAAGATAATTTATACTGGAGAGAAACCCTAGAAGTGTGAATAATGTGGCAAAGCCTTTAACAAGTCCTTAATTCTTAGCAGACATAAGAGAATTACTGGAGAGAAATTGTACAAACCTGAATGATATAACAATGCAGTTGACAACACCTGAACATTTCTAAACACCTTTAAATGGTTGTCACACTTGATTGTAGGTAAAATACTTCATACTAGAGCTAGAAACCTCTGCAAGTGTGAAGAATGTGGCAAAACATTTAACCAATGCTGACACTTTATTGGACAGGGAATGATTTATACTTGAGAAAAATTATGCAAATGTAAAGAATGTGAAGAAGCCATTAATATCTGCTCACATCTTATTCAATATCAGAGAGTTCATACTTAATAGAAACATTAAAAATGAAATTACTGTCAATAGATTTTTCAGAAAATATAAGCCTTTAAAGTGAAGAAGAGTATTTATTTTGAAGACAAGCATTAAAATATCAAGAGTGAGCTGGGCATGGTGGCTCACGCCTGTAATTTCAGCACTTTGGACAAGCATTAAAATATCAAGAGTGAGCTGGGCATGGTGGCTCACGCCTGTAATTTCAGCACTTTGGAGGCTGAGGTGGGTGGTTCACTTGAGGTCAGAATTTCAAGACCAGCCTGGCCAACATGGTGAAACTCCGTCTCTACCCAAAATACAAAAATTAGGTGGGTGTGGTGGTGCATGACTAATCCCAGCTACTAGGAGGTTGAGACAGGAGAACCGCTTGAACCTAGGAGGCAGAGGTTGCAGTTAGCTGAGTTTGTGCCACCGCACTGCAGCCTGGGCACTCCAACTGCACTCCATCTCAAAAAAAAAAACTAACATGAAGAGTATTGTGGTACCATTACTTGTATTACAGATCTTATTTTACACATTTTGTACTAGAGGAAAACCCTGAAGTTGTTGCTGAAACTTTCTTCAACATCAGAGAATATATCTTGAAGAAAATCGCTGCAAAGGTGATAAATTTGGAAAAACATTTTTTTACAAACTGCAGCCTAGGAAACACCAGAGAGTTCATACTAAAATATATTTTTGCAGATGCAGTAATATAAAAAATTAGTTATTTGAAAATTAAGTCTGTAAATACCAATTCAGAGTAGATGTATCTAAGGAACTGACACTTCAGACAGGACACTAAATCAGAGTGCTGAGTTTAGAAAATAAAACTGAAATTTACATAAATATTTTGTATATAACTTTAAAAAGTGTGTAAGATATTTTGGAGAGTTATTACATTCAAAATATGCTTTTTTTTTTTTTTTTTTGAGATGGAGTCTTGCTCCCATCGTGCAGGATGGAGTGCAGTGGTGCTATCTCGGCTCACTGCAACCTCCACCTCCCAGGTTCAGGTGCTTCTCCTGCCTCAGCCTCCTGAGTAGCTGGGATTACAGGTGTACACCACCATGCCTGGCTAATTTTTGTATTTTTAGTAGAGACAGGGTTTTGCCATATTGGCCAGGCTTTACTTTTTTTTTTTCAGACGAAGTCTTGCTCTGTCATTCAGGTGCAGCCTCCACCTCCCACTTCAAGTGATTCTCATGCTTCAGCCTTCCGAGTAGCTGGGATTACAGGCATGAGTTACCATGCCTGGCTAATTTTTGTATTTTTAGTAGAGATGAGGTCTTGCCATTGGGCAGGTTGTCTTGAACCCTGCCTCAGCCTCCCAAAATGCTGGTATTACAGGCGTGAGCCACTGTGCCCACCAAAATATACTTTTTCTTGAAAAAAATTTATAGATTTTTTAATATGTGAATAATGATGGAATTCAACTCTCAAATTCATGCTGTTTCTTTATTCCTATTGCATTCATATGTGAAAGTATGTGATGAATGGTTCCTGCATGAAAGATATGAGAGATTGTTTTTTATTAGGTAGGCATTATTATCTCTTCTATGAAAGAGTAAAGACATTAAAATGTAAGATATATGATGAAAATCTAAGTAGGGATGCTCTTTGTGGTTAACTTATAATATTGAGTGATGCATGAAGTAGGTGTTCAGTTTAATATTCTGCTTTATGAGAAAAATATTTTTAATTTTAGTTAAAATTTAATAGTGTTATTTTACTAATTGTACTTTTATGTGATACAATCTAGTACATTTAAAAACTTTGAAATTATGTGTAGACTTAACTTTTTAATTTAACATTTTTAACATGTTAAATACTATTGTGCATTCAATAAAGCATTATTTTGCCACTAACCTTAACCCATTCCACCTTACTCAAGAGTGTAGGTAAAAGATAGTATTATTTGTTAACGTAATAAAGTAGTATCTGTAGTAATCTTTTTTGCTAGTGGCTTTAAACTGCAAAGAAGTTAAAGAATGTTGTTCCTGTATGTTAAATTTTTTTTTCTTATTTAAATTTACTTAATATTTTTGGGTAGATAGTATGTGTATATATTTAAACCATATATGGCATATTTTGGTACATACAATATATAATAATCACCTCATGGTAAATTAGGTATCTGTCACCTCTAGCATTTATCCTTTGTATTATAGAAAATTTAATTTTATGCTTTTTGTTAGTTTAAAATGTGCAACTAAACTGTTACCAATGGCCTCACCTCTGGCATTTATCCTTTGTATTACAGAAAATTTAATTTCTCACTTTTTGTTAGTTTAAAATGTACAATTAAACTGTTACCGATGGCCAGGCACCATGGCTCATGCCTGTAATCCTAGCACTTTGGGAGGCTGAGGCAGGTGGATCACCTGAGGTCAGGAGTTCAAGACCAGCACTGCCAACATGTTGAAACCCTGTCTGTACTATAAATACAAAAGTTAGCCAGGCATGGTGGTGAGCACCTGTAATCCCAGTTACTCAGGAGTCTGAGGCAGGAGAATCACTTGAACTTGGGAGGTAGAGGTTGCAGTGAGCTGAGATCGTGCCACTGCACTCCAGCCTGGGTGACAGTAAGACTCTGTCTCAAAATGAATAAATAGATATTGACTACAGGGTAATTTCTATTATTGTATTATTTAGAAGTATGAATAAAATGCATACATTTGTGAGTCTTGTATACATATTTTTATAAATTTCTTATATATTTTTATTTGAACATGTGGCTTCTCTGCCTGCAAACACATAAAGACTTTTAATTTTGATTTACATGAAGTTAAAAATACACATGTATTACTCTAAAGATAAACCTTAGGAAAGAAATTATGGAGTGAGTGTGTTTATATGAGTATGAGTTTGTATCTATTTTCAGGAAAGAAGAATAGAGCAATATCGGAACAAAACAAATTGTTTTAATGAGGTGATTAATTTATTAGATAATAAAAACCTCAAAAATGCTGAAAGCAAATTTTTGCTCTCAGCTTTGTATTAAATTCATTACTGTAAAACCGTATGGTTTATGGTTCAGAATCTCTCCATACAAACTCTTTGCCTGGTACTCATGCCAGACCTATAATTTTGTTATGATTTTTTGTTTTATAGTTTATGAAGTATCCACTACGTGAGCTGGTCATGATTATAAGAATTTTTTATAAAATTCAGTAATGTACACAATTTTTAGATATAATTCCATAACGTTATATTTTATTTAGAACATTCCATTTTGTTCTTTTAGTTGCAGATGCCTATATAAGCCTACTTTAGTTATTGTCGTTTTACTTGTTATAGATGACATAAGTGAATTTACTTATTTATTGAGTCTTTTTTTTTTTTTAGGTAAGTACTAGGGAAGTTTCATAAGTCATGAGAATGTTTTTGTATATAAATGTATCAAAGAAACATGACAGTGAGTCCGGGTAAGGTGGCTGATGCTTGTAATCCCAGCATTTCGGGAGGCCAAGATGGGCAGATCACCTGAGGCCAGGAGTTCAAGACCAGCCTGGCAAACATGGCAAAACCCCATTCTCTACTAAAAATACAAAAATTAGCTGGGTGTGGTGACATGCACCTGAAATCTCAGCTACTCGGGAGGCTGCGGCAGGAGAATCACTTAATCCCAGGAGGCGGAGGTTGCAGTGAGTTGAGATCAGGCCACCACATTCCAGCCTGGGTGACAAAGTGAGATTCCATCTCAAAAAGAAAAAAAAAAAAAAAGGAAACATGACGGTACTTGCTGTGTAACTGATGCTCCATAATAAGCCATAAATAATTCTGCTGGAGTTAGTTTGTAACTTCAAGTCAGCGGTTTCTGGTCTTTTTTTTTTTTTCCTGCTCCATTGGAGTATGTGTCTGTTTTTCTTCAATTACCATACTGTTTTACCTAATAAAGCTTTTTTAGTATATTTCAAAGTCAGGTAGGGTGATACCTTCACACTTTCTTTTTTTCTTTTTTCTTTTTTCTCGCACTTTCTCCCAGACTGGAGTGCAGTGGCACAGTCTCCGCTCACTGCAAGCTCCGCCTCCCAGATTCAGCCATTCTCCTGCCTCAGCCTCCGGAGTAGCTGGGACTACAGGCATCCGACACCATGCCCAGATAAATTTTTGTATTTTTTAGTAGAGAGGGGGTTTCACCGTGTTAGGCAGGATGTTCTCGATCTCCTGACCTCGTGATCCACCCGCCTAAGCCTCCCAAAGCACCCCCCCTTTTTTTTTTTCCTTCATTGCTTTGGCTACTTTGGGTCTTCTGTGGTACAATATAAGTTTTAGATGTATGTTTTAAAATTTATACCAGTGTGTCGCTGGTATTTTCCTAGAGATTGCATTATGTCTGTAGATTATTTTGTGTAATACAGATATTTAACGATAATAACGCCAATTCATTTATAGGTAATATTTTTCCGTTTGTGTATTATTTTTGTATTTCAATATCGTTTAGATTATAATGTGCAGGTTTTTCCACTTTTTGGTTAAATTCAAAGTATAATTACTAGTTATT